AGTGAAAGGAGTGGGATCGATAGGATTTGGTGCCTCACAATGATCTGATCAATACAAGAACAACAAAATTTTGATATTTCATATCTCTACTGCTTAAAAAGAATGTAAGGTTCCCATTTCACCTTTTTTCCCACCACCCATTCGTCCAACCTTCCATGTATATGATAATCAATCACCTTAATTTACTTATCTTTCGGACCAATTTCACTTTAATTTACTTACCAAACTTCTAATGAAAATACAAAGTAATTCACTAGAATAATGCGCGTGCGTTGCAACGGGATATAAATATTCTAATATGTTAGCTTGTGATTTACCTAGCAATAATAATGCGATTGTGTAAATAAATGTTCATCAAATTCTTCGGTTGTTGCTGGTCAGGAACTTACTGCTTCCAAGTACCATATTTCTGTCAGGATGTCCTCTGCTTCGTCCAATTCTGCCTACATTATAACCACTGTTTACGTGCCCTGCGATGCTCATGAGAGACAAGCTTTCTTCTAGGCAGTGGATAGCACAGTTCAGGCAATTTCTGAACCGTGGATGGTTATTGGCGATTTCAACATGTATCGGTTCCAGGATGAAAAATCTCGTGGTCGTGTGGATTGGGCAATGATGGAGTTGTTCAACGACTGGATCAGAAGCCATGGTCTAGACGATGTGCAGATTTCTAATCGCAGCTTCACTTGGTCTAACAAGAGAGAGCATCCTACTTTGGTTCGGCCGGACTGAGCTCTGGTGAATGCTCACTGGCTCCTGGCTTTTGCTCAGTCCTCGGCCTCGGTGGTTCCTTCTGTCACCTCGGATCATGTGCCTGTTCTTGTGGTTTTTGACAATTTGAGACCTAAGAGTCGGTTTTTTCGAATGGAGAATCATTGGCTTGAAATGGAGGAGACCAGGGCGATCATTGTTAATAGTTGGAGGGGTGGTACTAGGCGGATCCTCTCTTCTGCCTCTCTGCTCAACCTCAAAATGAGAAGGGTCTGTGCCGCCCTCAGGCATTGGCAAAGGAATAGGCCGGGTTTGAGCTTGCTCATAAACAATAATAAGAATGTTGTTGATTACCTCAATGCTGTGGAGGAGCGACGCCCTCTGTCCTCGATCGAGACTGTCCTGAGAAAGTTTGCGGCAGCCAAAGCTGATCAGTTAATACAATGGCAGTCTGCTTTATGGCGTAGGAGAGCTAAGCTTCGATGGTGTGTCTCAGGTGATGAGAATTGCCAGTTCTTTCATGCTGCTGCCAATGGACATGCCAAACGCAATCAAGTCCGTGTCCTTGTTCAAGGGGGAGTGGAGCACTTTGATGACCAACAGAAGCTGCAGCTTGCCACCGCTTATTTTTCTGACCTGTTGGGACAACCATCACCATCACTGCCAGCTGTCGATATCTCTGCTATATACGAGTCTTCAGACTTGTCTTACCTTGGTACGGAGTTTTCTTGGGAAGAGATTGTTCTGGCCATCAACCGCTCGCCCAACAATCGCAGCCCCGCCCGGACGGTTTCACGAATGAGTTTTACAAGGCTTTTCACAATGTGCTCAAGGAGGACTTACAACTCTTTTTTGAACAGTTTTACCACAACCAGGTGGATCTCTCTGGCATCAATCAAGCTCATATTTCCCTCTTACCCAAGAAGGAATCACCTCTTGAGCTGCACGACTTCGGGCCAATTTCTATTGTTCATAGTGTCCCCAAGCTAGCTAGCAAGGTCCTTGCCCAAAGATTACAAATGCAAATCCCTTCCCTGGTTCACCCTCTACAATCTGGCTTCATCAAGGGTCATTCCATAGTTGAGAACTTTGCTATGGCTGCTGACATGGTTCAAACAGCCCACAAAAGGAAACTGCCAATGGTGGTTCTCAAGCTGGATTTCCAAAAGGCGTTCGACACTGTCAGCTGGGCCTGTCTCTTCAGCATTCTTCAAGCCCGCTGTTTCCCTTCACAATGGATCAGCTGGATCTCATCGCTTCTGACCACGGCTAGCTGCAGAATCATGCTCAATGGTGAGCTTGGCGAGTCTTTCGTTGCAAAAAGAGGTTTTCGTCAGGGCGACTCCATCTTGCCATACCTGTTCATTTTGGTCGCTGACGTCCTACAGAGATTGTGCTGTTTGCGTTTTGAAGACGGCAGCCTGATACACCCGCTTGGTTCTGACCGTTTGTACCCGGTGCTACAATACATTGACGATACACTTCTTTTGTTCCAAGGTAACACTCAGCAGGCGGCCATCGTCAAACAGATCTTGTCTGACTTCTCAGCTTTCACCGGACTGCAAATCAACTACCACAAGAGCACTATGATCCCTATTTGCATCGACCCGAACAGCACACAGGAAATTGCTGACATGTTTGGCTGCCCTATCTCAAGCTTTCCGTGCACATACCTAGGCCTGCCACTCTCTCTGCACAAGATTAAGCATGGCCTACTTCTGCCTATCATTCATCGGGTGGACAAGAGGTTATCAGGTTGGCTAGCCACCTTTCTGTCTTTTGGTGGCCGTTTGACGCTGGTTAATTCATTCCTTGCTAGCATCCCAAGTTATTATATGTCATGTTTCCTTTGGCCTAAGGAATCCCTTAGTACGTTGGAAAAATTGTTGAGGGCTTTCTTCTGGCAAGGCAAGAGCACACTCAAGGGAGGCCAATGCCTCGTTGCCTGGCAGTTTGTCACTCTCCCAAGATCTGCAGGCGGTTTGGGCATCAGAGACCTTCCTACTCATAACCAAGCCTTGCTCACCAAGTTTGCAGCTAGAGTTTTGCAGACCTTGGAAATCCCCTGCTTTCAATGGTTTGCTCAACAGTACTGTAAGCATGCTATCCCTCTCAAGGGCTCAAACCAGTGACATGGCTATATGGAAGAACTTCAGACCTTTCATTCCTACAGTGTTGGCATCCTCCAAGTGTTCAACGGGCCCTGGCAAGGTTATCTCCTTCTGGCATGATCACTGGTTGCCAGTGGCGCGGCTACGGTTCTTGTTGCCCGCCCTCTTCTCGTATGCTAAAGATGGCGCATGTACAGTGGCCTCTCAGCTCGGCAACAACTTTTGGTGCATTCAACTGCACCCCAACCTATCTGCCAGTGCCGCCCAGGAACTACAGATGCTAAACTCTTTTCTGCCCCCGTCTCCTACAAATGCTGCAGTTTTCGGCTTGGATGTCAGAGTTTCTGCTATACACCATAAGCCACTGACTACTTCTCAAGTTTATCAACTTTTTACCTTCAAAGGTGTGGCCTGTGAGTTCAACTCCTGGGTTTGGGACAAGATCATCCCTTTGAGGTACCGCGTCTTTCTCTGGCTAGCTTTTTGGGGGTGACTAAACACAAGAGATAACATGTTTCGTAAGCATTGGTCCCTAGTTACCGAACACCAGGACTGCGACATTTGCCCTGCAAGTGAGTCTGCCAGCCACATTGTTCTGCGCTGCTACCCGGCCTCTGTTATCTGGGCCGCGTTCCATATGAATGACCTAGCCTCTAGCTCCATGGACATCGTTCATTTTATGCACAGAGCTCAGCGGGCTTGGTTTAACTCTAGAGGAGTGCACATTCTGTTCGCTGTGGCTGCAGTTACTCTCTAGCACGCAAGAAACGACAGAGTCTTCAACAACAACCGATGGCCTCCGTTCTATCTTACAGGATATATGTCACAACTCCTTCAGGCTTGGCAGCACCGGGCTAAAAGGCAGGTTGACAGGATGCTATTACGAGCTGTATGTACCTCCTGACTAATTTAGCTTTCTAGTACTCTTCTTTCCTCCTCGCTTACCCTGTTCTTCTCTCTTCCCAATGGCTGCTTATAGCCATGGCACTACGGTGCTCAATGTAAGCTTCATGTAATCGACCCTTTGGTCCCAGGCCAGGCCTTGGCCTGTTTTGAAATATATAAGGTAGAATCTCATCTACCTTTCATTTCAAAAATAAATAAATAATCTGACCGTGTGAACAAGCAAGAAGACCATCCCACAGGTACAGGTAGGCTCGCCACAACTCCAATACAACAAACGTACAAATGATCAGATCAATACATTCTTTTTAAACATTCCATATTTTCTGAAAGGAAAAAAGTAGAAGACGATCCGACGGGTACTCTGCGCACACCTCCAATTGGAAATCCAAAAGCGAACCAACCTGTGGTTGGATGGTTAGAGGGACAGTAGTATCCCCAGCTCTCCAGGGTTCAAATCCTGGTGCTCACATTTATTCCTGGATTTATTTCAAGATTTTTGGTGGTGCACATTCAGTGGGAGGAGACGTTCCCGTCAACGACGAGATGCCTACGGTGAGTTCGTAAATTTCAAGATGATATGTCGGCTCAGTCTTTCGAAGGTGCTCATAGAGGTAAAGTGTGCGTACGTGCGTTCATAGGGGTGAGTGTATGCGCGTGTATATGAGCGCTTGAGTCTTTATTGTGTTAAAAAAAACTGAAAATCCAAAAAACATTTTACTATGTTATTACTCCCTCCGTTCGAAAATATTTGTCATCAAAATGAATAAAAAGGGATGTATCTAGATGTATTTTAATTCTAGATACATCCTTTTTTGTCAATTTTGATGACAAGCGCTACCGATGAGCATCTGGCAAGAATGGTGGGGGGAGAACCCCGTCGACCTCCCTCTCCTTCCACTCTTTTATCGTCACATCACCCCTCCACTATCTTATCGTATTTATAAGTAATTTTGCCGGGATCTTTTCAAGCACTAAAACAGAAAAGTTCCCCTACGTACACTGATACAGTCCTAGTCAATCAACCCACTAGAAGATTAAATGAAAAAAAAATGAACGTACAAAAGAGGAACAAGACTCCTGCTGTCGGCCGTGCTTGTACATGAGTGTGCAACCATCTCACGCTCTGAATGGGCCACCAACGAATTTTCTTCTATCCACCATCTTTCACATATTCCAGTTGATCGTTATAATATCCGGCCACCCTCCGTTAAAGCATGAATTGTATATGTGAATTTCTTCTTTCAGCAGCTTTAAGCCTGGAGAATCTTCAGTTTAGAAGGTTGCGTTCCAGATGGCGTTCTCACTCTCACCGCAGCGCCGATGGACCTCCTTGATCCGATCCGCCGACTTGCAGATGCCGCTGCAGCTCCAGTCGAACGACGCAGCGCATACGTTCCCCGCCTGAGCCTTCCGTTCACATTCTGCACAATTGTGACATGAACAATCAGCTCAAATATATCTGAAAATGTTAGTGAAAAAATGATTTGCAAAGGTGAACTGTTAGTTATTCAGAAGGGACGATGACACTTTAAGACGAAGAGGCGCCCTTCTTCTTTTAAAAAAAATGGAAAAGGAAAGATGAGATGTCTAATGTCCTGAAAGACTGATGGCACATGACGAACTCTTAACAACGTCGAGAAGCACATGCTTATGACAGCTGATACCACACCTACTTACTGAAGTTGACTGGCAACCGCTCCAGATCCGAACTACATACACATTAAAGTATACTTACGCTGCCTTGCGAAATGATTGCATACAGGTCGACTAAGCTGTGTGTGCTAAAATATTAATCAGCAGCTACATACAGGTGGTGGCTGACTGGCATGTTAAACACCGACGAATTCATCAAGGAGGAAGAAATTCAGTCCCAAGGGTTACCTGGATGCGTGCCGCAGCAGAGCCGGCGATCGTCGACGTGCTCGGCATCCACTCCGATGAACCAGGCTCCTATCGACACATCCTCGTTGGCATATTTGTGGAGAACATGCCTGAAATGTCGCCATCCAATCATCACGGTTAGGTTATGGTCAGCGATGCGATGCGATGCGGTGGGTAGGTGTTGACTTGTGCGTAGAAAATTCAGTCAGTCAGTACAAGAAGGGAACACAAACATTCTTAACATTTGCTTACTGGTTGATTGATATGTAGGAGGCCAGATCCTTGGAGATGGCGTAAAGCTGACCGCTCGCGTGCCGGAAGTATTTGTTTCCCCATTCGCCGAATTTCCAGTACTCAGGCTCATGGTATTTCACACCCCTGAAACGGCCAATAACTTGGTTTCAGCAGCTGTTGCAAGGGGACCAAGAAAGGCGTCGTAGCAGTGGCGAGCGAGCTTACTCCTGAGCGAGGACCGGGCCTGATTTCATGCAGCCGATGTAAGCTCGGGGCTTGGAACGATGCCTGGCCAATATGCCTCCAAGAGTTGCTGCAATTTATATGGTCGAATCTCGTCAATACTGTACACACTAGTGAGGCAGCTTCATTTAAATAAACAGTGTACTATATTTTGGACCTCCAAGATCTGTAATAATGCAGTACGAACCTATGTTTACATGCACATCATCGTCCACCTTGACGAAGTACTCTGCATCCCACATGGACACGGCTTTGGCGAAGTAGGATTTCGTCTTTGCTGCCAGCTCCAGGTACCCTTCAACGTGGTCCTGCATGACAGTATGAGTGACTGTTAATACTACTGTACAGCTACATACAATCATCAATACAGTACTATATTCTGCGTCCAAAGGAAGTTACCAGCCTCAAGAAGTCGCCATGCTCTCTGTCTTCTGCGTCAATTGCTCTATCTAGTATCCCACCAGATGTTGCACTGGAAAGGGCAAGTTTCAGATGTCAGTATCTGAATTTATAACATAGATTAACCATACAAAATGTCAAAGTGTATTGTTTCTTTTTATTAAAGGCAATGCATGATGAACTAACCTATGACCTATGACGAAACGGACGATGATGCCCTTCTCCTCTTCCATCTTCCTTCTTTTCTCCCCTGTAGTAAATCGAGCAAAACACGTCAGGGACACAAGGTCGGTGCTGAGGCAGGTAGGAAGAAAAGGGGGGTATCTTAAGGCAGCAACAAGAAACTGCAAAACCTTGAGGCATCCATGTGGCACGAACTGAATCTCTCCGCTTCCGGCTGCTGAACGCGGTGTTGATCCCGATGACCATGAAGTACTTCCGTTTCGCAGCCGGTTCCGACGACGGCGCGCCGCCATTGAGGATGGAATCCTGCGTCGCCTTGGCCGAGGCTAGCTCCATTTCTAAGTTCGATATTGTTTTGTCCAGTGACCTGATCACAGAGGGAGGTACTATTTGTGAGTCTCCGCCCGGCACTCCAGTGTGGCGCCAGAATTAGTAAGTATAGTGGAAACGTTGTACTGATTCAACACTTGGTCTACTTACTGGATAGCATCTTCAGTTCTTTGGACCTGCCCAAAATCGTCTTTTGGCTCGTTATTAATCTATTGTATTTTCAAAAGAAAGGAGGGATTAGTGATCGGGTCACACAAGCGAAAGTTGGTAATCAGATACTATAATAACTGGAAGGATATATGCTTACACTTTTGAGCGCACAATCACTAGAAGAGACGAGATTCATTTTGTCCAATTCGAGGGCCGACCTCCTGATGATTTCTTTGGATTCTGGGACGGTCCACATCCTGCATCAGCCAACAAATTTAAATTTACAGTGCCGAACAGAGTCATTTGCGATAACAACAGCCTAAGCATTAGAAATACTAGATAGAAAAATGGAAGTAAAGTATGGCTGTTCGTAATCAGCTAAGCAGTACTGCAAAACACTGGAAGTGATTTTACTGTCGAATTTTTTATCAAATGAAGTACCCCCAAAAGTGAAAGTGATTATACTTTTACTACCAATCGCCTGTGATCTGGGTGGTGGGGTCGGGGCAACAGAAACCAAACCACTATGTTGTCGGCGACAGGTAGTAGACTGGTAGCAGATGCTGGGCGGGCAGTTCGCGTTTAATGGCCCTGTGACCTGCTTGCGATGCAAGATCTTCAGACATAAAGAAGCATCTCATCCGCCAGTGAAGTACACAGCGGGGTACAGGCGCCCGGAATTCCACGTTCACGACTCCGGTGAGAGTACGCCACAGCAGCAGTCGTACACCAGCTATAGTATTGGTGGTCACCTTGTGGATGGGTACTGGGTAGTACTCGCCTGGCCCTTGGAAAAAATGGGGTGAAGTGATCACAGGAAGTCAATAAACCAATAGGATTCGGTGATTTTGCAAAGGACTCTGCTCGAGACGGAGACGTTCACTAGGACATGATCAGAATTAGCTTCTGCAGCCGAAGAAGCAAATTTATTCTCTGTCTGTGTGTGTGTGTGTGTGTGTGTGTGTGTGTGTGTGTGTGTGTGTGTGCAAGAAGCCTAATATTACAGGCAAAACGTACGAGGGCATTGTTCGCTCATCAAAACTCAAGGCAAAACAAGGAGCCAGGCATGAATGAATATGCAAAAAAGGAAGAACTGAGCGGCCCAAGCAAACCTGCATGCAGAAACGTCAGAGCGATCGAAACTTGATGAATCATCCAAGCGAACTCCAGGATATCAGGAGCGGCAAAGAAGAATAAGAAGAGGAAGAAGGAGCATGACGTGCACCTGTTGGTGAAGATGAGGCCGACGCAGAAGCTGCTGAGGCAGAGCAGAGAGGTCCATTTCCGGGAGATGGTGCCCCTGAACAGCAGCTCGTCCCCTGCTCCCGACCCCCTCGTCATCTCTCTCTCTCTCCCGGCCGCTCTCTCTTCCCCTCTCCGCAACACTAAGCCTGGGTCTCACCTAAGGCTCAGTCAGGGCCACACGGTTTGCTCTCCGGGGAAAGCATGATCACGCCACAGGAACTTCCAAGCCCAGCATCAAGAATCTAATGGTCCCTGCTTCTACTCCACCACCACCTCCCGCTGCCGCTCTCACTTTTGTGAGGCGCAAGTCTCCTCCACCTTGCTTCCCTCTCCGGATTCCTGCCTGGGTTCGCTCCGAGTGGCCGGTGTCTTTGAAGTGAAGGGGAAGGGGAGCGCGAGGAGGAGGACGCACCAACTGCGGGCGGGCGTGCGTGCGTGCGATCTCCGATCTGTGATGCGTGTGGGTGAGCCAGCGAGCGGGCGGGCAGGGGGTGTGTGGAGTCCGAGGGAGGCAAGGGATCTCGCGCCCGTCCAGATTTATTCGGCAGTGTCTGTCTGGGGGCACTCGGGCCGGTCTGGGCATCACCGCACCGGCCGGCTTACTCTGGTGGTTATCTTGGTTTAAACTTTGTTCTTGGGTGATTATAGTATTATTACTGACACTGGCTTGACAGCATTAATGCCCCGGGTAAGGTTTGTTAGATTGAAGGATTTGGACTGGTGAGGACAAAATTGTAAGTTTGGCCCTTCGATGGTCAAGTCAAAGCCCCATCCTTGTGTTAATCTTCCGGGAATTTTATAGTGCAGATGATTTTGTGTGTGTGTGGAGAATCTCTGGTTACTTTGCAGTCTACTGTTACTGCAAACGGTAGTCTGGGTGTCACTTTTTTTACATTTTTGTAATGGACGTTTTTGTTGTCTCAGTGTCGCATTAATAGTGTATTTCTGCTCCTAGTTAGTATAACACCGTGCGTTACTACAGGCTACAATGCATATATTTTAGAAAGCATCTCTCATCTGAACTTCTAATTCAATTATGCCCCTTAATCATTTATGTGTCTTAGGATCTACTATAGGTTTGCTCATGTGGGCGCTCGCTGGTGGCCGACATCTTATCATGGGATCATAGCATTCTTCTCTTTGGTTTTTCATTTTTTTTCCATTTTTTTTTCATGAACAAGTGTCGTGCTCTCGCCTTCTGTCGGTGTCAAAATCGGCGGATCTCGGGTAGGGGGTCCTGAACTGTGCGTCTAAGGTCGATGGTAACAGGAGACAGGGGACACAATGTTTACCCAGGTTCGGTCCCTCACTATGGAGGTAATACCATACTTCCTACTTGATTGATCTTGATGAATATGAGTATTACAAGAGTTGATCTACCACGAGATCGTCATGGCTAAACCCTAGAAGTCTAGCTTGTGATTGTCATAATGATCTATCGACTAGCCTGGCCTTGGCTTATATAATGCACTAAAGGCCTAAGATAACAAGAGTCCTAGCCGAATACGTTGATGGAGAGGAGTCTTTGTCTTAATCATCAAGTCTTGTGGAATACTCCTTGTATGCGGCATGGGCTGCCCGAAGTGGCCCATGAGTGAACCGCCATGGGGGTCCTCGGCCCATCCACCTGGTCGGGAGACGATGTGGTGAGTACCCCCTAGTCCAGGACACCGTCAGTAGCCCCCTGAACCGGTCTTCAAGTTGGGGATGCTCCTCGATGCTTCTGAACTGTTCTTCATCTTCGATCGTCGGTCTTGAAAACTAGTTCAACAAATCTTCTCGTCTTCGATCTTGAGGATCGCCGAAATGAATCTGAAGGGTTTACACATCGGGTATCCGAGGAGCCCCTTTAAGTTCTCGGCCTTTATCAATGCCTTAGGATTATTTTTTACGCCACACCTCGGGTTTGAAGTTGTTCTCGTGCGGCGGTGTCCTCTTGCATCCGAGCTCCAACGCCGGACTGCATTCGAGATATTTTTTGCGGCCGAGCACCAACGTCGGACTATATCCGAGCTACAACGCCGGACTATATCCGAAGTGTCATAGATCACCTTGGCTTGAAAAAGTTTGAAGGAGGTTATCCGAGTTTAACGCTGAAAAGTTCTCTATGGAACGAGACATTCAAATCTGGGATTTATGCCGGATCACTTCCGAGCTCCAACGATGGTCAGCGTCCGAGGTGTCGTAAACTACCTCAGTCTTTTAGAAGATTGAACGAATTCAGCCGAGCTTAATGCCGGAAATGTCCTCTATGGAGCCAGCCACTGGCGCCCGAGCTTTATGCCGGACTGCTTCTGAGGTGGTGCACCACCCCGACCGCGGGCTGATTTTTGTGAATATTTTTGATTGGTGCAATTTACTCCCTGCCGAGATATATAGCAGTATATGTATATCCAGTAACCCTCAAGGTGTGTGTCGGTCTAAACCCGAGGTGCACCTGAAGGAAAACATAAAGCTGCTAATCCTGGTAGCCTCTGAGACTCAGGTCGATTTGCAAAATCGGCCTGAGGATCAACTCCTAGCTCGGTAGCATACGTGGGAATAGAAACGCAGTGTAATATATTAGAGATAATAGTGATCGGCGAACGGGCCCTTCAGAGAGGGTCTTGAGAAGTTGCCGCAATATATTAGCTTGACACCATATAGGTCCAGATGGTACCTATTGTTTCCGAAGACGCGTTTGCCCATAGTTCGGTCAAGCCGAACACTAAGCACTTTGAATTTTCTACATTCAACAGGCAACGCGGTAGCCCCCTAGACACTGGTCGGGTGGCAACACCAGATCAGGGGATCGGTGTGCCCCTTTAATATTTATAAATGATGAGCGTGAAGCCCAGTAGCCCCCGAGCCTTAATGTGGACACGGGTGGATGAATTAAGGATCGATATCCGTGTGACATAAAATTTTGTTGTGCTTAACACAAACTTCTCGAAAAGAGAATAAAGATCTCTTAAAGGAGCTAGAGCCAGTGAAAGCTAGGTTCGCCAAGGTTGGCCCCAAGGGGCTTAAGAGATAGAAAATCGATGCCACTTGGGATTTAGGAGAGCTTTATGTAAGTTGCTCGCTTGGTCTTTAAAAGATGAGCTGCAATAAATCGACTTTACTCACAATTTATGATCCTATGTATCCAAGTATTTTACATCATTAATACTCGGATACGCATTATACAAAACTTTGTTGACCGACCATCGGCTTCCACCTCCTCGGTCAGCAGCTGGGGAGTGTTTGACCTTCTTTATAAAGCCTTCATGAGAGCAAAGATTTACGACAAACAAGGCAATCCGGTCATATGGTTTTATAAAAAAAGGTACACGGAGAGAGATGTTATATTACTTAATGTAAGAAACATCTTCCAAGGAAAATAGTCCCTCTATCGGTTCCTTTCTTTGGGTCGTCATGCTTATCATGATCATGAAACCTCACCTCCGATCAATGTGGGAGGAAAATATTGAGGGTTTAGTTCAAGGAAAGTTCCCGAACTCTATGGTATTAATGAACCAAAATTTTCAGTTTCATTGTTGCCGACCAATGTGATCCTTTAAGATTGCTAGCTTTCGACTTCACCTAGTCTGAGGTACTAACTCAGATGACCCGGTAGTAACAATCACAGAGGTGCTCCCTTTCCCGCCTAGCCGAACAATCGGGAACGTAGGGGTAAGCACAGGAGCCAGGCAACCCAGCTTGGCAAAAATCTTAAGTCAAATTTATGCATATTTATGGCTTTATAACAATGATTACGGAAGGCGGCCCTTGTATATTAAATACAAATGCCGATGATATGTTTATTTTGACTCTGTTGCGACCGTTTATCAGTTGAAAGTGGCCCATCGTCGGCTTTTACCCCTTTGTAGATACTACGCAGGGTGTTTCCGCAATAACAAGACAACCCTTAGCCGACGTCTCGATGCCCGAAGGCGGTTGTGTTGGCGGAAACGAGGCAATCAGATATGCAGGCTTTATAACTTTCACTTAGTCATAGGAGCTTTAAACTGGGGAAACTAGCTACGAGACCCCGGTTAGTGTCCGACGACAGCCGAGGTCAAGCCATAAACACTTCGGCCGATGTTATGAACGGCCCGTCATTTAACATAGTCATCAGATCGCTGACCATTTTACGCTTATTGTGACAGTCAGTTTTCGGCTTTCTCCACTGAGGTGCTTAACCATGCGAGCTGGAAGCACAATCGCAGTGGTTCTCCCTTTGCACACCTAGCCGAACAAAGCGGAACGTAGGAGGCAAGCACAGGAGCCGGGCAACCCAACTATTGACCGAAGACACAATTTGAAACCGATGCATATATAGCAATATCCGAGAATGTTTTTGCCGAATCTCTATAGGTGTCCGGTGTTGCACTGTGAGACTTATGCTGGAAACACACAAATAGTTTAAAAGTGCCATAAGCTTGGAAAACCAAAAAACGTCAGTAAAAACTTGACGTCCGAACAAGATCAATTGTTTGTGCCAATCGGAAATTGGTCTTAAAAAATTGTGCTTGCGTCGTGCTTTAACATGACACAACCGATCTCAAGACTTCAAGCGGGCCAGCCTATGGCTTCAAGCTCCTTATCCTGAAGGTGGAGTACTTCTCGGAGGCCAGTTTAGCGAACTAAACTCGAGCGGCTTTTAGAGAGAAGACATACTATCTGGCTATTGACCATACACTTGAGTCGAAAAAGGAGCGGCAGAAAAAGACTTTGCAACGACCAAGAAGAAAACACATTTACTATAAAACAGCTCATATAAATTTTAAGAGCCCCCAAGTGACTTGGGTAAAAGAATTTTGCGTATAATGATTGTATGTACCGAAGTATTTATATCATATCTGTGTTCACCCGAACTTTAAACGCGTCTTAACCGACCGTCAGATTCTTCCTCTTCGGTCAAGGGCCGAAAAGTGTTATGTACTCCACATGTCGAGAATATCGACGGTGCTTTCGATAACCAGGCAATCAGGCCATAAGGCTGTAACAGACAAAGCGCGCTCAGGGAACTTATGCTATATTACTGACGAAGTGTAAGAAGCATCTTCGAAGAAAATAGTACCCCCACCGATACCTTTCTTCGGTTGCTCATTGTTACTATGAGACTTGTGCAA